TTCATTCATAATAAATGGATTTCTATTAAATCTTTAAAAGGATTCTAAATAGATCGCAGTGGATTATAATGTAAGTGAAGAGTAATAATATTGTGAGAGATTTATCTGAAAATTCAGGTATAATTAAACGGTTTCTAAACAATATGAGGCTGAGCAACTAGAATCTTGTCGATTTCACTGTTTGTGTCACGATCAGAATGTTCACTTTCCATATCACTACAGACGTTTACATTTTCTCTTTCGATACCAAAGCGAGTAAACTAATATCAGATTAGGCCATCATAGCTTCTGCAAAAAACGTTCAACTATGATAAATTATAAGAATCAAAGATGTTTAGTTTCTTGTTTTTATGTAAAAACTGAATGAAAATTGTAATGCTGTAAACGGATGGATGACAAATTTCAATGATGAACAAACAAACAGAGAAGGTGTGCAATATATTGTAACAAACGTAAACTGAAGCTATGCTTTGTTTGCGAAAGGTATTCGCACATTAAACGTGCCCGAAACAATTGTTTCGGAAATACGCAATTATGATAATTGCATTTGTCGGTGTCGCCGTCGTCGTCTCATTGTTTCCTCCGTGTAATGTTCCAAATTGATGCGAAAAACGAGATGATTACATGGACCAAGGAACGTTGTTTTTTTTAAACGTCGCTGAAGACGTCTTCAGCTTATGGTTGTAGCGAAAACGAAGACGAGATCGTATGTAGAGTATGAAAAGCAACGAGCGAAACGTTCTTTTGTAACAGCGAAGGACTGTCTCGTTACATGCGTTATATAACGGACATACCGAAAACAAGAAGGAAAGTTTATTTATTTATTTCTAGTTTTCTTTCGCGTCCGTCCATTTGTTTACTTTTCACAAACATTTGGTGACATAAAGCGTAAATTACCCATAAAGACTTTACGACTTTTCTGTTATTACGCGGAAAATCCTGCACAACTTTTTTCCATTAATCTATTCAACATATCATTTTTAAATGCACAATTACTTGAAAACTAATGAAGTTTTAATTGCTTTATGATTAAAATGAAAATGAAAAATTTGTACAATAATTAAATTTAACCGTAATAATTATTTATATTGATTGAATCACATGGAAGAGGACGTAAGATTATTTGAAAGTTTCAGGTATTAAATTTTATGTGCAACTATATAAAATCAGGATTTAATTAAGCAAAACAAGGGAATTCACTATAAAATGAAGGTTTAAGTTAAACGGGAGATTTAACAGCTTCATTAATGACTTACAAATTTAATAGTTTTTACCCACAATTGGATTTATTGTCAATAAGATTTTATGATCCTTCAATTTACTAAATTATCCAATTTTATTTGTGCACAACTTTTCAATTAAGAAATTGAACAAATCAAACAAACTTTCAAATTAAAAAAAAAATAAGGAATTCCAATATGTGATTTTTGTGCTAGTCATTAAGTAACAAAAGATCAACGGTAATGAAGCCGATGAACTAGATCAGCAATAAAGTGGACCAAGTGTTATTAGGTTATCTAGTCGAAATGGAGAGAAAGAAATGGACGAAATTGCTTCAATTAACGTCTGCGGAAAAAAGAAAAGTTCGAAGTATAGAAAAGATCGCTAAAAAAAAGTAGATCAAATAAATCATTTGGCTCGATTTCAAAAGAAACCAATCCAGTTAATTAACATATATATTTGATCTGGATTCTATAGAAGAAAAGTATATTAATCATAGGATATAAATAACAATCAATTATTGTTTGCAATAAATTATTTTTATAGAGAAATCAATGCAATTAATTTAATTTTAATCCTATAATTAGGAAATAAATTTTTGTAAATGCAAATCGAAAAGTTATGTATGAAATTTGTGCGTGATTTCATATTAGATTGAGAATGTAATCACGTTTGTGCAAATGAAAAATGTAACCGAATTAGATTGTTTAATTACGAAACAGGTGGGCTTTGACGAAAATTAGCATGAACACGAAAGTAATCTAGATGGATTTCTGCAATATGCGTGTATAATTTCCATGAAAACGTGTAATTTGGCTGCGTTCCGACACACAAATTCGTTTCTTCGGCATCCACGGAAAATTATAATACGGAGCAGCTCCGGTTTCATAATCGAAATGGATGGAGGACTTTCACCGTTCGCAATATTATGATTAGTGTCCTGAAGAAAGAGTAGCAAAGAAAAAAAAGGACCAAAAGCAAACGAGGAACTGTGAAACATCTCAAGATTCCAATTAATCCCAACCATTTGAATGATAAATAAATCCATGAATAAGTTTCGTTTATTTTCTGGTACTATTGGCATAGCCGGAAGCTAACGAATGAAAGTATCATTGCTATTCGTACCACGTGCGATTAATTTACCGATTGCAAGAAAATAAATAAGAAAAATAAGCAAAGATTCAATTCGTAGTGAATGTCCAATCTGATAACGGTTTCAGCCGTTTTTCAATTGATACTTTCAAAAACGTATTATTTAGCCTCCGGCCAAACAACGGACGTTTATTTACGTAAGTGGATCAATTGTTGCTTCCCACGTACAAAAAAAAAACAACAAAATCCTGCAATTCAATTGATTCCCATTGGTAATTATTCTTTTAAAATGCAAAGTAATCGTTAACCCAGATTCAGAATTTTCGTTCTAATTAATTTCCCACCCAAGGTTGAAACAAACCGATTTGGTAACATTTCTATACTTGTTTATTTGTTTTTTTTTTGATCGCCAATTAATAACACCCAAAAAAAAAGAAAAAGTATAAAAGTGTTTTCATGTTTCTATTACCCAAATCCAATACGATTTAATCCCATTCAAAACGAATTAGTGAAAGTCCATTAATGGCATTATTTCAACAAAATAAAATTTAAATTAGATTAATCTACGATTAAAGCACGTAAATGATTCAATTTATCAATCAAAAACTTTATTTTTTTTTTAGAATAAACTAAATTCTTAGTCAATTATAAATGATTACATAAAGAAAGTAGAATAAAATCAAACGGATATAAAAAAAGGATGTTTTGATTATTTCTATAATGGAATTAGAAGGATATTGACCTAAGCTTTCGTTTTGCAAACAGTCGAAATGTAATTGTTTTATCGTTAAAAAAAAAATACCGGTTTCTTTTTTTTATTATATATATTTCCTTAAACTGATATAAAAGTAACAATGAAAGTTTAATTAAATTAGCAATAAAAGAGAAAAGTGCAGAAACGTGTTTTATGGAATGTTCGAATTTTGGGCTGTTTTTTTCGCTCTATTTAATGCAAATTAGCGACGATTTTTAATTGGATTGTTTTTTTTTTTGGTTCGACGAGGAAATCCGTAACGGAATGAGTCATTAAACTAAAAAGAAATATTATGTGTAGTAATTTGCATGCAGGAATTTCTTTAATTTGCTCCGATTAGCAATTATTGTTAATTAACTAATTGATTTAAGAATTACATATCTAATTGGTTTTAAAATTAACTACTGTAAATTAACTATGGTAATAGTAATTTTGATACATTTGTACCAAATACGCACGATTTTTATAGGAGACATCGATGCTTACAAAGACACGAACCCAAAATTTAAATAAGCAAATTTTAAACAAAAAAAATAATTTTAATAAAATATTTTCTATCCAATTTTATTAATTAAATATTATTAAATTTATTAGTTAATTTTACTAATAAGTCTGGCTTATTTTACGTGGAAATATCATGGGATTAAAATTAATATTTTCTAATATTATTACATATAATAAACCATAATTATTTAATATTTTAGTTTAATTTGCAAAGAAACAAAAATTAATATTTTTTTTTTGGAAATATTAATTACAAAGATAATTTATTTATTAAATTATAAGCGGAAAATGATTTGTGAATAATTGAAATAGCAGTTATTGGAGCGTAATACATTTAGTTGCAAATTATAGTAAATTTGCGTTTCGAGCAGGCTGGAAACGAAAGGAAAACATGTATGAAAGTGCGTTTTATTCATTTCTGGTGAAACGCATTAATATCTATATATTTCTTCCCTACAATTTTAATTGGAGAAAACATACATTATTTGTATTTATTGCTACAATAAATTATTTAGTTATAATTGATTTTTTTACTTAATTTATTAACTAATTAATTTACTTTCTTAACTAATTATTAAAATATATTATAATTAAATTTCTCACATTATTTATAATTAAAAGTTTAAACTTTATAGTTTGAAATATATTTTGTAACAGAAAAAAAAACTAATTTCTGCTAAATATTTATAGAATTTTTTTAATCCGTTTCGATTAATTCTGTTAAACTCTTTTTAATACGTTTAAATTATTTGATTGTCTTGAATAAATAAATAAATAATATTTTGCATATATAAAACATGAATTTTCAATTCTTTATTTCGACCAAATATTATTTTTGTAATTTAAATTCTGTAGCCGTCGGAAAATGTTAATTTTAAATAAATATTGTTTTATAAACAAATCATTCTTTATGAAATAAGAGAATTTTGTAGAATTAGTTGTTTTTTTTTTCGATAATAAAAGTGTGTTACTATAAATTATGTAGACGTTTCTGTGTGTATGATTAAAGGAATCCGGAAATTTTGCATGCAACTCGAAACCGGGTTAGAGAACTGTAACGGAATTGAATTAGAGAATCTCCTGTAAGGAGTTCAGTGAAGTTTTGGACCAAAAGACAGTGAATGTGTATTAAGAGAAATAAAAATAAATTTAATAAGTAAATAACGAAATGGTAACGGTGGATTTAATGAATTCGTCGTGGAAATTAAGAGGCGAAGGATTTAAAAAGCGGCGCGGCGAAGCGTATCCAGTTTTCTTTAGCGTTTGTAACTAGGATAAGTTGGCACTTGTCACGACACACTGACACACAGAGACTCTGATTTTCTTTCGATTTTCTATTGATGCCGGTAGTTTGTATTTGGATTTGGATTTGTTATGGATCGACTTAAGCCGTCGGATAGGCGAAATTTTCTGGAAATCCTTGACTCACCTTTCTTCTTTCCGCCCACGCGAACCGCGCCACCGTTTTCGATCAGGACCAAAAGGATCAGCGATACCGCAGCGGATACCGCAACCATCGACCTCTTCATCTTGGCTATTGTAGATGGATGTCTGTTTGTTTGTGTCTGGATGATGTTGGTTGTGAACAGAGGTAGATTGGTTGGTAGGTGTCTGTACGTGCACGGTCCAATTTAGAAGAACTGAGCACAACCGTTCTCGCGCAATCACCGCTTCGCACTGTCTGTCCGCCTTCTGCGTTGTCCTATATTTTCTACCACCTCGACTTCTCCGTCGAGCGTTCACCGGACTTAATAAAACCTTGTCTCCACCACACCAGTATTTTATTGGCTTCGCGAGTGAGCGAAAAGCTTTTTTTTTTTGGTGAGGGTGTCTACGTGCAGCGGCGATATCTCCAAGGTCGAAAGCCTTCCGGTATCTCTTGCGGAGCGGCGCGGTTCTACCAATAGTCGGATCCTTGCGGAACGCAAGGACGTTTTTTGGATAGGCGAGAACCGTTTTTCTTCTCAACTACCTTGCACCATCTAATTACGTCCCTCCGCAACTCCGAAGAGAAAGAGTCAAGGGCCGCCCAAAATATTTCACCATCTCATTGCCAAATTCCTAACAGTCGAAAATATGTTTAGAATGTTCAATTCGTTTCGCATACGTAATCCACCAAAAATTCTTTCTAATTAATAACAAAAGGAATCCATCGGGCGGATTTCTTCGTGTGATGACTTAATATTCTAGACACAGCCATGGCATTCAAGCCCAGTTCATCACCTACCATTTCCTTTGTCATTCTTTGATCTTCGTCAATTTTTGCCTTCACCAGGGCTACATTTGTGTCATCGACGAAAGATTTTGGGCGACCATCACGAGATTCGATCTCAACAGAAAAATACCCAGTTTGGAATCTTTGAAACCGTTGGAAATGGTTATAAGGGATTATGCATTTACTTCATATGCCTTTTGGCATTCCTCGAAAATTTGCATAGGCTTCAATTGTCGTCAAAATCCTAAGAGGATAGCAAAACGAATTTCTTGCAGTGTTGGTGGTGGAATTTCTACCAACATTACATCACTAATCTTGCATTTTCTCTTATACATTCTTACCGATCTTCTTGAAATTTGACAAGAAACATCGTTAGACTTTAACAAATTGAGAAACAACTTTTTTTTTCAGAAACAAATGTATTAACGCCAACTAAGAACTTTTGTTAGCATGATTGCAATAAAAAGTTAATTTAAATTATTATTTTTTTTATTGAATTATTTCTGAGAAAAATTCAAAAACTATAAAAGTTTTAATATATTTTTTAGTGATTTCATCTTCAATTTTGCATCTTCTGATATAACTTCAATTAAGTAATATTAATGGTCGAAATTTGTCGAATTTTATACTTATTTAAAAAAAAATCAAACAAAACTTTTCACATGTATTTTTCTTAAATTAATAACAATGTTTTAATTATTTGGATAACTTAGTAATAATATTAATAAATTTTCACTTAATTATGCTATTAATTATCACCTTATTATATAAGTAAACTCTATAAATTAAAGAGAAGAATTTTAATTAGATTTTCCGCTTATTGACTATAAAAGAAATCACTTACACGTTAATAAGAAACCATGTTTTATATAAGAAAAAAAAATAATGATGATACAGTGTAAATTATTAAAACATGAACGTTGACCGAACAGAAGAAAACTTTTTTTTTTCTCTCTCCTCACAAATTAATTGATTAAATTCCATGTTAAAAAAATATATAAAAACCTATAAAACCATTCGAAAGCTACAACATTAATTAATCCCAATTACTTGTAAAATGCCAAAGAATGTTAATCTCTTCTCACTAATTAATTACAACAATACCATTAAGTTCTAATTAAAGTATCAGTTACATGAAGATTTTTTTTTTTTGGTATTAAACTAAATAAAGATGTTCTTAATTCGGCAATAGGTCAACATCATACGTTTCGATTTGCAATAAAAAACGTATAGAAAAAAAAATCAATCAATCTAAAATTTTATTACATTTCTGTTATGTAAAACTGCAGCGTTTAATGGCAAAGTTTTCACCGATAATCTTTCGGAATTCTATTGACACTGTGACATTTCCGGAGATAAATTTGCAGTTTTATTAATAAATATTCATGAAGCGTCGTGAGATGCGACGTGTTTCAATTAATTGCTTGTAAAATCTTCATTTAAATTAAAATTGAAGAATGTTTTGTGCTGATCATGTAATTAATAATGTGGAATTGTATACGCGTAATGCGATAGGATTAATTGGAGTATGAAGATGGTGATGATGATGATGATGAATCAATGGTGTGCAGTGAAGGTGAAGATATGGAGAAGAAAACGAGGCTGGGAAGGTGAAAGGAAATAAAAACGCGACCAAAAGTATGGAAAGTGAGATTTTTCATGTCATATCCAATGCAACTTTTATATTTATAAAAATACACTCTTTTTTTTTTGTTGTTGTTGTTTAAAAGCGAAGAATCCAAGAAGACATCATTGAATCATCGTGTAGCTATTAATTATTATAAAAATGTGGAAAGATAACAACAAAAAAAAAAACGTGTAATTTATTGGGTCTCCAAATTGAATAACAAGAAACGTTCAATTTGCAGTGTCTCTCGCGTTACGCAACGAATTTGTGAAAAGAAATTTAGAATAGAAAACGCAGAGAAAGAACAGCAAAAAAAAAACAACAACGACCAGCGTGAAATGAGTTACGTGAATGTGCATTTATTGATTTATTGGGTCCTCGTATATTATATGCAAATCTTTGGCAACTTTACACAGATTTTTGCCCAATTTTTTTTTATTGCTGTGCAGTTGCGTAATTTTACTATAAATTTTGATATAAGCGCTCGTTTATAGCGTCAAAACTTTTACGCAATTGGTATTACGTTCTAATTAGTATTAAATGCAAGAAACTTCATTAACATATTTAAAAATTTATATGGATTAACTAAAAAAAATGAATCAAATTATCAAATTTTTAATTTTTTTTTAATTTAATAAATGAACGTTTTTTCTTGCAATAAAGTAACATTATTTGGTTAATGAGAACTTAATTATTGTTAAATTAGATAGAAGAAATCAATATTTTTAATGCAAAATAATTAAATCAAATGTCTAAAAAAAAAGCAAATGTTTCTCTAAATATTAAAGAATACATAGTTTCTCGTTTATTAAACGTAATTACATGACTGAATGTCCTTTTTTACTTAGAAAAAAACAAGTTTCTATTGGCACAAAATAATTGGAAAATAATTAATTTCCAACGTTTTCAAAACTCAATAAAATTAAACAAATTTAATTAAATTATCGATCTATAATGAGTAAATCAATATCGCGTGTTTCATACAGATTTTCAAACTCATTCGTTTACAAAATTTCAAATAAGGCATTACAAATTCTGCGCGCATTGTTTCCCGTGGTTTTGTCAAATCAAATTGGCCATAAATTTAAATTGGTACCGATGACCGATACTTATTGAATACAGATTTCAGATCTACACTTTTTAACTAATTGCACGATTTCCTAATCCAAACTAGAAATGACAACAGACGGGAAAAGCTTTACGCAATTTCCATAATCATTGAGTAAACTCATTCCAAATTCAAGTTACATTACTTAATGAACCATTATTAAAACAATTTTATTTGTATTTTCTTGTTATTATTTTAAGTTTTCTTAATAGAGATTAGAAATTAAGAGAAATCATGAATGAATGTAAATCGAGTAAAAAAAAATAATCTTACAGTGTAATAAGTTAAATTCGATGATGTCCATGCAAACAAACATAAATGAAAAACGAGAAGAGTAGATTCATCATTTCGAATAGAAATTAAGATGTACGTACGCGCATTCCGGTCTGCACTTAAGAGATTTCTAATTGAGAGAACTGGAAAATATCTTAATATTACTTTTGGAATCTTCTCGTGATTTTCTTGTGGTTAAATGTTTATAAACATTCATTATAATAATTAATAATAAACGTTCATGTCTTTGCAGACGATTGAAATAAAAACTACACCTTCGATGATTATCGTAAAGTGACAATTCTTGCAAATCTCCAGCAACTTTCCACAATATATCTGATGTAATTTTAATGTAACTTTAATAAATTTCCTATTCTTATTTACTTCCTTATCCTCCATCACATCCATTCAATAATTTCCTGATCATGTTTTACTTTCATTTTCATCATTTATAGTTGACATTATTAATAATAATCTAAAAACGATCAACTTTTCATTCACTTATTAGATTATATACTGAAATTTGAAATATTGAAAATTGAAAATGTTAGTAGTTTCTTTGTAAATTTAAATTGTTTAATTTTTGTTAAGTAAATAAAATGTTTGAAATAAATAAATTAGGTTTATTTATATTAAAAACTTATTAATTCTTTAAAAATTCTATTCTTTAAATTGCTTTGTCTTTGACAATGAAGACAATGAAATATAAAATAAATAAATTGCAGAATCATTGTGTTTCTATAATGAAACATGAGAGTTGGACATGACCATTGGAGTAACGTTTATTTCTATTCCCTTTAGTGAAAACACTTATCTTATGGTTTTATTTGACATTATCATAATGAAATTGAATGTTTATGCCGGATTTGCCGCAAATACAATACGAATCGCCTTACATGCCGAACATTTGGTTTATAATAAAATAAATAGTTCCAGTTTCCTAAACAGTCTCGTCTTTTCAATAAATGTTGTTTAATACACTTTAAAATACATATAGTAATCTAATAAAAGAAATTATACCTTATACAATTAGATTTATTATCATGAATTTCAGTTTCTAAACTATTCAATTTTATATATTGAAATTATTAAAAATAAATGATTTGATTTGATTTTTGTGTATGAAATATTTGAATAATTTTATTAGTAAAGGTTAAAATAATTAAAGTCTTAATAAATTCAATTAGTGCAGTCAACTAATCAATGATAATTTAATCAAGTAAGTTATTTATTGGCGAAAGCCGCAGTCATTTCAATTATTATGACAAACTATGAAATAATCAAAGTTGCTTTACTACGAATTGTCATTCAACACTATTTTTCAATTTAATTTTATTGTTTTTACTTGAATATGCATGTATGCAAAAATACGTAAATAATGTACGCATTTTATGTAAAATAAAGTTTCCTGTTTGTAACAAAAAAAAATTGTAATTATATTAGAAGAAATAAAAGGATTTAGTATCAGGTGTTGTTTAATGGTTTAATTGGTTAATGAAAATTTAAAAAAAG